ATTTGCTTATGAATAGGTAATATATCTAAATATAAATATGAAAAAATCAATCAAAAACAGCATTTACTATTAAATACTTTTAGATTTATCTTAATAAAATATACAAATCACCAATCTTATCTACTACATAAATCTTAGTTCATAATTGACATAATTATCTTTATTATTTATTATCTTTTAACCACCAACAATCTAATATAGAAGAAACTTCTCAATTTTAACTAGATTATTAATTAATAATTATAAATATTCATATTAATATTCTCACCTCATAAATGGTAATTATACTATAGACATGTCCAAATCTTTTATAATGTCTATTGTAACATAGGTCCTAATTGATTTGAATTTAATAATAAATGTAAATATGTGAGTTCCAAGTAGAGCGAAGTGATTGTGTCTTTGGCAAAGTGCATGTAATTAGTGTTAGCAGGGCAAGTTCTACCCAAAAGCATAGCTGAAATTCTATTAAAAATGGTTTGTATAGACTTCACATATTATTCTTATTTTTTAGGGCATTAAATCAATCTTATCAATTCATCAAAAAATGGGTAAAAAAATATAATTATCGATAAAAAATCATAATTTCTTAAGACAAATTTTGGTCCCATTAATATGAATTATTTTGATTATAATTATGAAGAGAACCTTTGCCATGTCCACTTTAACTTTGCCCATCATATTCAAAACTATATTCATGCCACGAATTCTTGCCCACCTTTCTTCATTCTATAAATTCTTTTTCATTTTGTTGTTGTTGTTGTTGTTATCCATTTATCATTCCAATCAATGTGAACTTGCTCTTGGTTGTTGTTATTTAATATCCACCTTGTTGCTTCTCATCAATCCTTCCAATTGATATAAAATTCCTATTTGTTTTAATATTGTTGTTACTTACTTTGATTATTGCTCTTTTTTGACCATTTTTTGGTTGACGTGAATTCTCTCTCTACTCTTGATGCCATTACCTGTATATTGTTGCTGTAAGCCATTTTAGTCATTATGAAGTCCTCAACTCATAAGATTGCTATTTGTTACTAGATACTTTCTATTAATCTTTTCAGTTCAAATGAATGTCAAATGATTGTTACAACCAATATCTTCATAATTTGGAACGAATTAAATTGTTTTCTATACACTATTGTCCATAAGAGATTTATAATCCTATTATACATCTATTTCTTACTCAATTTCACCTACATTATTCATTGCACTATAAAATTTTAATAAATTCTTAAAAACAATAATATTAACATATTTTTTTATTTACTTTTAAAATAAAAAATCCTTCTATTACTTTATATATATATAAATAAAAAATCTCATTATACTATAATATTTTTTCAAATAATTTATATTACATTTGAAATGTATACCATTTGTGAACTTTTTATTATTATTTTTAAATAGATGAAGTTTATTTGTTTTCACACTTACTTTTTTATCTTGGTTTTTTGTGCAAATTAATTCTTTCTAATTTATATTGTTAAAATATATAGGTATTTGTACCAAGAAACTATTTCCTCTACTTGAACACATTTCTTAGTATTCACAAAAAAATTATATTTTAAAATTTTTAATCTTTTAAAAACATTGATGATAATCTTATTTTTAAAACATGTTATTCTATATATCTAATTACCTTCATAATATTCTAAGAATACATGCTTTTATGTTTCACATTAAATTTAAAATGTGATATTTTTGGATATGTAATTTATCTAAAATTTCTTATTTAAAATTTTTAAAAAATAAAAAATAAAATCTTCTAAGATATTTTGAAGTATTGCTAATATAAAGACATTTGTATTACATCTATTTCATGCTTATACCCTATTTACCAATACTTCTAAGCAAAACTCCTAACTAATGTTTTGGACATGAATATATTTTTAATTATCTTTAATATATATATATATATATATTAAATTACTTTTTATGTATAATATTGAAAAGGATGTTGATTTTTTAATATACTTTTACAGATTATTAATTTTAAATTCTTAGCATCTAAATTAAATTACTAATATCTAAGCCACTTACCATTGTTTGAAACTTTATAAAATTCTTTATATTCAAATAATTAAGACAATAATCTTTACTTCTATTTTTTAAATTTTAATGTAATATATATATATATATACATACATAATCTCTTCACAAGCAATGATGTATAAAGTTTTAATTTTATGATTTATGACAATAATATCTTCTTTTAAATCTTTCTCATAACATCTATTAATGTTAAAATGAACCAAAAAATGTTTTATAACCAATTTGCTAACTGAATAGAAGTTTGACTTTATTGTGTGTATATGAAGTATAACTTCAAACAAGATCATTGTTGCTTCACTCCTTACAAAAAATTCTACCATAATTGACTACACATTAATTGCTCCAACAATATCATTACTAATATTAAAAAAATAGTAACTTCTAAAGAATTATTTACAAATGCAAGTTGGTGTTTGAAGGCCTTTACTATGTAAATTTATGTCATTAAGACTTTATATTTTTGCATCTTTGATATAAAGAATTTTTTTTTTGTGTATATAATATTAATAATTTTATAGGTATTTCTAAAACTCTTTTATAATCCTACTAGTATTTTGCAAGAAATAATGTAGAGAATTTTATTTTCTATCCAAATTAGTAAAAATGGTACAAAAAATATTTGTCTAATATCAATTGTGGTTTTTTTATTAATTTAAGATTAACATGATTAGGTAGTAAATCCTCTATTTTTATTGTAGTCTTCCAAAAATCTATTTTTTCTAATAAATAATTTATTCCAATAATATAGGTTTTAGTTAAAAAAAACATTCAATCATTGTTATCATTGTATTCATTGTTATTAGAAATTGTATTCAAAAATAGCTTATTCCGTTTAAAAGGAAAGATAAGTAAATAGAATATTTTTTTATTATAAAATAAATATAATTTAAATTATTTTATACTATTTTCTTATAAAAATAAATTTTAATAAAAAATTCTCACTATTCAAATCAAAGTACCTTAAATTTTCTAATATTTTTAATTTTTAGCTACTACATCCTTATAAAGTTGCAATATTAGGAAAAAAGTAAAATATAAAATATAAAAAAACAAATATAGTCTTATGAATTATTCTACATTCTTTAAAAGAGGTCTAAAATAAGAATCTCTATACAAAACATTTAATAAGCCTTGTTATATTACATGACATATAATGTTGTTTACAAATCATAAAGAACATATATTTTTATAAACTTTATAGAGACTCAATATACAATTTGACAAAAAAATACTTGAGATTCTTATAAATGTTATAAATTACAATTAGACTATATTTTATTTCCTAGTAATAATGCAATTCTAAAAATAAATATAAAAATCATTAAATTCTTTGTTTTAGATTTAACAATTATTCTTACCTTTAATAAATTTATTCTAGTTTTAATTTTAATAAAATTAAATAAATTACCAATTTTAATTTTAAATTTAATAAATTACCAATTCTAATTTTTAATTTAATAAATTACCAATTTTAATTTTGAATTTAATAAGAATAAAATACGAGATTTAAATTGATTTATTTTTATTAGCTAATTAAGAATAAATTTAAAACTATCAGATATTATATTTTTATAAACATCATACTTTCTGTTAGTACAATATCAATAACTAATATTTTTTTATAAACTTAAAAAATAGATTTGTAAATAAGTTTTTATAGATGATATCTTTGGAAGATTATAGTTGATTGTTTATTATTCCTATATGTAAAAGTCTGATTTTTCTTAATACGAAGAACATTCATCATTAAAAATATAAAATTTATATAAAATTTATAAGAAGTATATAGATTTTAGGTTCTATACAAATCTATATTATTAAAGAAATAAAGAAATTAGAAAAGAAAAAGAAAAAGAAAAAGAAATAAAAAGAAGTGATCTTAACAAGATGATGTTGTACAAAAATCAAATTGCATGATTGCTAATGTATTTAGATAAGTTTTTTTTTAATTGACAATTTTTTTCATTTTTTTCATTTTTTTTCTTTTAGTAATTGTATTCTTTGATTTGTGTGGCTCTTCTTCTTTGGACAATGTTAAATAGTATATTTAGACTTTCAAGGATATAAATGTAAATCTTTTTGCTAATTAATTTTTCTTTCTTGTGTTGTAAGAGACTTAAATAATGCACCATTTATATGCATACTTTCCATTTTTAATTTTACTTCTAAAAAGCCACTACAAATACATCATGCAACTCAAACGCTTAGCATAGAAGCATAGAAGCATCATGTTTTTAAAAAGTTTCCACATTTTCTTACTAGCAAGTACATATTGAAATAAGATTACAATTGTCTTTACTCTTATTATTTCTATTTATCTATGTTATATATATATATATATATATATATATATACACAGACAAACACACATATATGTATGAATTTTTAAATGATTTTGTTGTAGTTTTTAAGATTATATCAATTTGTATATTTACAAAAATTAACATAACACGTTTTTTATCAAAAAAATCACGCCAAGTAGACATTATATTGCAATTAATCAATATAAATATATTTGTAATATATTTACAATTATCTATACAGATAATATACTTACAACCTAATCAATGTTAATTCTCAATTTTTTAAAAACTTTCTCAAACAACATCAAAAAAATATATTTTTTTTAAAAAAATATAAAAATATGCTCTAAGGAAGAAGCATTGTTAATAGAGACTATTTGACATAAAAAGATTGTAGCTAGTAGTTAGAGAACTCAAGTTAATTTGAATATATTTAAAATATGCCTCCTACACCACCCACAAAACATTGTAAACAATCATTCACAACTTTTGGAATATCAGGAAGCAATAAATACACTAAGAGTACGCTACATCTATTTTCAACAAGACAAAACCCTTGAAAGCAAATATTAGTATGTAGGAAATCTTTGCCCGTTAACTATGATAAATATATAAGAAATTCAACAAAATTTGGTAAAAATAAAAGAAGGAAAGAAAAACTAAATTTATTGACCATTTCGATTAAAACACAATACAAAGAACCTCTAGTGATCACGTTTGGAGGTTTGTGTAGACAAGGCTTACAAAAAAATCATGTGAGAAATCTTTTACAGACGAATTGAAAAACCACCCAAATCCTAGTACAAAATTTTCAACCAGTGAGACAATATCTCGCTGACCCCTTAACCTTCTACACTGCATAGATGGTACATCTGTAATGTGAGAAAACTGGGATACCCCATTACAAAGTCGTCGTCCCGTTTACTCCAGAAATATAGACAGTTACATTGCTCATATTTCTAATCTAGGCAACAACACAGAAATTGAAAACGAACAAAAGAATGAATTAAATGATAGCACCCACAAACTCGGGGCGCGTGCAGATTCTGACCTAGCCAGTGCCGGAGATGTGTAGAGAAGGGGACCCACGCAATGAGCAACATTTGCATGCGCCGAGCAACGTGTATGTGTGTGTATATGTGCAGGAATCAATCTGAGGAATACAGAATCTGAGGAGCCGGAGCGTCGAAGTAGGTATGGCGGTTGGGCTCTACAAGGGCCTCGCAGTGAGAGTGTTGAGCTGCTGTTTGTGGGTCCATCGAGGACACCATTACGCCTCTCTCCCACAGTCAGTAAGTTTTCTCGGTGGTACTGCCAACAAGCGAGGGTAAAGAAACCACAGACATGGACTTGTTTTCTGGTTGAGTGAGTAGCAGTGGGATGGTAGAGAAGTGAGGAGGAAATAACAACCACTACCAACACCAGGATGGGAAATGAAACTGGAACATGCAGTGGAAAGCACACTTGCAGGTTCAGGTCGGTAACACAAAAATGGAATAATATGGTACAATACCCTCTTTATTCAAAAAATAAGTGGCTTAACGTAAGGCCGGGTAGTGCTGCCATAAACCTGCCGTTTATGAAAGATCACTTACCTTAGGTCACTGGTTAGTAGTCATAATGTGGTGTTAAAGGAATTGATAAATTGAACAGTGCCTGCTAGGAAGAAGTATTCACAGTTTTAGTAGGTAACGCATCGATCCTCATTGCGCAACGCGAGTCTTAATAGGCTTCAGTTTCAAGCCCAAGCTCTCAGAGGAGAGGAGCTCCGGAGGAACACAGGGTGGACTGAGCGGGCTTGTCGGTGTAGAGATCGATAATGGCCGCTTGTAAAAACTATAGAACATCAGAAACAACTCGATCGGCACTAACATGGAGTGTGGTTGTTCCTGGGTTACCAAGGTTCCACATGCTTGGACCTGTGCACAGTGGAGAGGATTATTTTCAAGTAAATACTGGATTTCGCTTCTTACATTGAAATTGCTTCCATCAATCGAAGCCCTAAGACAACGTGGACAGCGAGTTCGTTCGGGAGCTATCCGGAGAGAAAGTTGTGAAATTAAAAAAAAAAAAAAAAAAAAAAAAAAAAAGGAGAGACAGAGATATGAGGATTCACCTCAATCAAGGCTTGGTATCGCCGACTCATCGCAGTGCTCATATGCACAGCTTCGCAGTGGAACGGAGAGTTTTCGCCTACAATTACCAGAGTGCGGCATTTGAGCTTTCGCATGCTTTCGGTAATGTCATTCCTCCTGCAATCATATTCGTACATAATATGTAACACGTAAGGTTTCAATTCGGTTATATCCTTTGGCTGTATGTTCCGAAAGTGCATGCATGAAAGAAGTGCAGGGAAGAAACGTACTCATTTAAAGATTGGATGTACCGCATCAGGTTCTTACTTGGGTGATCCTCTAAATGCTGCAAATGAATGTCCAATTGACAAGGCACTAATGTGAGGACATCGACCACCTGTAGCAACTAGACAGGCGGTAACACAAAAAAACAAAACACAACAAAACAAAACCTGAAAGAAGCAAAAGAAGCGATGGCAGCATAATGGGTTAATGCTGCAACTATCAAAAACTAGATGAAACTATGAAGTACGATAGGAGCGACATACTTTGCGGAAATTCTTCAGAACTTCTGATCCCAAGGGTGAAGCCAGCACTTCCTGACTGAAATATCGCTGCAAGAGAGCATCCTTAACAAAACTCGTCGTGCCACAATAATAGAGAATATTTATTATCGCCTGCAAACGCCCACACAGCGAATAAGTAAATGCTCAGTTCCACTGCATTGATATTCAAGATGCTTGTGAGGCTTCTGAAAATCTACCTTAGTAGTGAAATTATTCCATGACACAAGAATACCACTCAAATCTACCTTATCATAGAACCATTCCGTCCATGAGGGTTTCCGGCAAAGTGGTGAAACCAAGATGAGACCTATGGCACGTTCTCGATACTTAACCTGTAAAACAGGAAAATCGATCGCACAATGAATTGATTTGATGCTGATATGCACTATTAGAAGCTTCAGACAACAGAGCCCAGAACGTGAAACACATTACAATCATCTATGACAGCAGCAATTCTAGTAACTAATCCAGATGCCCTTGAGTGTCAACACATAGAAGCATGGCGAAGTTCACATACCGCAAAAAGGCTTAGTACGTACGATCCAGCACCCACTCCTAAGCAAATTGCTTCATGCACACTGCACAAGAAACAGTACGACAATACGACATCAATACTACAGAAATGCCAAGACAGAAATCATGGAATATAATTGACAACTAGCACTACAATCATGCGAAAGGAATTTTCTAACGGATTTAGCTTTCATTCAGGGCCAAGTCATACAGAACATAACAGAATCGAGGATAAAAGGAAAACTTCTTGTGCATACCCGAAGTGGTCCAAGACTTCAGCAACTTGGTCTGCTAAATCCTCCACAGTCAGAAGGGGTTGGTTATCTGGAATCTCGGTTGCGCCATCCTGCATGCATGGTTCCACTTTGAGAATCATTATGGGTAAAAATAAAAAATACAACAATCCAGGTCTTTCTAGAGCAAGAGATTTTTTTAGCACCCTCGATAAACAATCCACAACGTAATCTCAGAAATATGCATAAATATTATAAACAAGATGTAGCCCCGTAAATCTGTTGAAACTGATACAGATTGTGCAAGTTTTACCAACCTGATGGCCAGGCGGGTCTAAATGGTAAATACAGAAGTTGTAGAATAGAACAGAAGAAGCTTCAGGACATGAGAATAGTCCTTCAAAGCATGCCAGATCTGCTACATCAAACGTCGGTTACACAATTTTAGCACTGACAAAATTCATGGAAAAAAGAAACCAGGGGACTGTAAATTTAGTTTCAATTGTACGTGTGGCTACATCTTCACAGAGAGGTTCATCAGCGATGAACTTACAATTTAAACCCACGTCGGGGTAAGTGACAAGGGCAGGCTTCGATTGATCTCCGCACAGAAGAACTGAAATTGGACCATGAGGTGTCTCAACTTCACGTCTCTGACCAAGACAGATGAGATAAGTATCAGTGATTAGTTCAATGATTCATCACATCTACTGTGTAGATTGGATACTATTGCAAGAGTGAAATTAAAAAACTGCAATAATAAAGGGGAATGATAACAACCCTTTTTCAGAGCCTTTCCTTTCTAAGTCAAATTCTACTTGGGATCTCTGTCGGACTGCAGTATCAAGCTAGATCATCAATCAAGATTTAACTGGCAAGGACAAGGCAAACAATATTTTGAAGGAGATTTCAAAATAGAACGTACTTCTCCTCCCCATGCACCAGTGAAGTTCGCATCCAAGTTGATTACAATATCATCTAGCGCCATCTGACAAACAGATTCTTCAAGCTGCTGAAGGCACCTCCAGGCTAGAAGATTTCCAGGTAGATATGACACTCACTCCTCAGAATGGCTAATAGTTACATCTTATCAGTAATGCAATCGAAAGGAAACGAGCTCCAAGGTTTACTGGCTTCCTGTAATTGTAACCTTCATGATATCATATGGGGCGGTCCCGTCTCCTCAGTGCTCTGCAAAAATAAAATTCGTGTGTCAAGAAGTCATCCAGATGCCGTGATACTGAGCAAAACGGAAACGGGACTTGAAGATGCAAGCTGAAATTTTCATTACATTACATAGTTCTGCAACGCATTCACCGATACACTTGGAGGAGGACAACTCAAGCAGCAAAATAAACGTCCTCAGAAGAAATTCCTCATCACCTTTGCAGATGGTGTACTGTGCACAATCTGGACACCAGCCGGTGACCAACTTTACTGTGCAGAAGTGACTACAGGCAAGTGTCCTTAAAACTAATTTGAGGGACAGCTCTTAAATGGAATCAACACCTCTACCCATAAAACCTTCGACGAAAACAGGGATCCACTACATGTTGAACACCTGTTCATTGAGTTAAAGGTATTCTAAATCCGCTTCTGGCGCTCTGGGTGCAAGCTTGTGGTACTGAAACAATCCATTATAGTCACTTTCCTCCACTGATAGGAATGCACTAACACTATTCTTTGATGCATCGAAATGCTTAACAATGATAAAAAAAATTGCAGGTATGCGGACATCTCCATTCATAACCCCTAACGCTAGTCAATCGTTAACCAGATGATCTGATCTACAACACTGCGTATAATTCATTGAATTTCGTCGCGGATGCCAGAGACGATAGCATCACAACCCAGAGTACTACGTATGTTGGAGTGGCCAGCTCCTTGCTTCAGGACCATCAAATCACAACAGATGCAACTAGTTTACACACCGCGTCAAGTCATGCGAAGTTCCATCCCTCATTGATTAGTCCAATTAATTCCAGAACCTCAACCGCTGATGAGTTTGTCTTGGAACCTCCCTAGAGTCGAAGCAACCCTAGGTCACATCCTCACTCCGAATCACCACGATAAATGCATTGCAGTCAAGACTCAAGATCCAAAACCTCCGTAGTAAGATCCCACCCCTAATACTCAATTCAGACTCTTAGATCACCTCCTGAACAGAAGAGATGGTCCACCATACAATCAACATTGTCTTTCAATTCCACGCCCCGAACCCATGAGCACACAACATTGTTGCGCTTAGAGTAGGAGACAAACCGCACATTGAGCTTGCACCATTGTCACGCCGTCGGAAGAGATGGCTTCCACCGCCGGCAAAGTAAACGAAATCCTCCTTCGATTTAGAAAAGCCGACACCCAGGAGAGGCGACGACGTCAAGCCACAGGAGAGGGGGGGAGGGGGGGGGGGGGGTCAAGGACAAGAAAAAACTCACATGATCAGCGACACACAACTCAATACCAGCATTACCGCAAGGCGTGCGTACTGCTGCCTGAGTGATGAATGCACCAGAAATTACACCATCGTTTCCCCAAGCATTCAAATGAAGATAGGGGAAGCGGGACTAGGCAGCTGGGGGGGGGACAGCCGAAGTTCGGTACCCAATATTAGCAACAATTCAGAATAAAAACCAACAAAACATAAAGCAAGCGCGGCAGAGGAGGGAGAAGATCTTGCGCTCCGGGAAAGAGGCAGCCGAAAGCGGAGGAAGGGGCGCAGGTGCAACGAAGCTCGAGATAAAAATAGACCCCAACGCGCATTCATTCCACGTCTCTCATCTACTCAAGCACACACACACAAACAAACAAACAAACAGTTGCACATTCCGATTGCGAATTAACACTCAAATCGCACTGTCGAGTGCTGGGACAACGAATGCATTGTGCACTGCATTTGAGAGAAACCGAGATGAGAATAGGAAATTGGGTTGCAATGGGGGAAGCTGGAATTGCGGTGTCAGGGAGGCAGTTCACACCTGAGGTGCGAGAGAAATTTATAACAACGCTGCTGCTGTGGGGGTCTTGAATGACGCCGAGCCTTAACTGACAGAAAACCAGCCGCGCCGTGTCCCACGCGCGCAAGGTTGTGGTAAAAAAGAACAAGTTGTTTTTTAAATGACACATTTTTTTAATAAAAATTTGATGAATTATATAATATGATACTTGATCTAACAATTTGTAGCAAATATTACCTTTATTAAGCTAGTCTTTTTGGCTTGATTGCAAAGTATTGTAGATGAATACATATATATGTGTGTGTGTGTGTCTTTTTAATTCTAGTATTATGATTATAACTATAGGCAAATATATAATATTTACAAATGAAAGTCAAAGAACTTATATAAAAGGAAATAATTTAATATATAAATTGATATGAATTTTATTTATTTAAAGAGACATTGAATAGAAAACTCATTAATACGAGCTAAGTAAATGTTTGCAATCACAAGAAAAGTCGAATTTTTATTAAATCTTCTACTTATATGTTTGTTAAATATTCATTTAGAATCTCAAAGAAATAATAGATGTTTGGATTAAATGTATTGATGTACTTTTGAAAATAATGTTGAAAACTTTTAAAAACATGTTTTCTATTACATAATTTATATATTATTGTCAAGGACAAAGACTCGATGAGGAAAAATATACACCAAAAGGCTATCTCGATATAATAAGTCAAAATATAAACAAGTAGATATATTAAAAGGAAAACTGGAATGGCTATTGCCACAAGACAAGAAACTAAAGACTCTTGAACCTGGACTAGAAGCAAGAAAGGAGTTGACAAGAGTGAAGAAGCCTTCACTCTTGTCTCTATATATACTATCTAACTAGGGGCTACGTGGCAACATTCTATAGGACCTCCAATATGTGTTGACTTTGTAGGACACATGCCTTGACTTACAAGGCAAGTTTTTCTACGTGTGGGCCACATAGTTAGCTTGATCTTCAAGCTAACAACATGTGTGGCACATGGCCAACTTGTTGACCACGTTTCTAATCCAAAAAGTCAATTAAAGACACCTATGAAGTCAAAGCAGCGTCTAGGAAGTTTCTAGGAAGCTTCTATATTAAATATTATAGAATTAACTTACTTTTATCTACTTTTACTTACTTCTACCTATTTCTATATATAATTATTAGCTTATATGATTATGGCCGTGACATTACCCCCCCTTCTAGAGACGAGTTCCACGAGGAGCGGTTATCATATGTTGAGGAAATCTATGATGCGACGAATTATATTCGCCACATACTCTGATCTCTGTTCTCTTCGAAGATGATTGATAGGGCCTCTCAACCATCGGTAGTATCCTATACCAGGGCGGGAAGACCACCCAGTTATTTGATCATTGTTGAGGCCTTCGTAACTTCCTTCGAATAGAATATTCGGAACACCATCAGGAGTTGTTCCTACCTCTAGCAAAATCACCAAACATCGAGAGTCCCTTCCCAAATCGTGATACCAAACGCGTTGTATCTCACCATCTATTCGAGGAAGAACATGTCGTTCTTGAAGATCTTCATCTCAATTGCGTCTTCTTGAAGGTTGTGACAATCATAATGTCTCGTCCGACAGGTCAGCAAACGAAGGTTCTTGAGTTGAATCCGCTGGTTGTTGGCTCTCCATCTAATTAGCGTCACAAATGCAAAGAAGTTACAAACAAGGATAGGAAATTGAATGTTATCTTGCCTCAATCTTGTCTCTTTTATAAGAGAGATTTTCATCTTGGTTTTGATGGATGTCGTTGATGAAAAACTTTGACTTTAGCTGATGCATTTCTTAGATTCCTGGATGGCTCCCATGTGCGTTCACTAATATCATATCCATGCCAATGAACAAGATATTCCAGCTTATTTCGGAGCCGCCTTGAGTCTAATATCTCTTCCACCTCAAATTCTTCATTATTATCTACTTCTATAGGAGGCGGTGGCATTTGTCTTCTTCCTTGTATATCCACTGTCTTATATGGTTCAAGAAGAGACACATGGAATACAGGATGGATCTTCATTGACTCCAGTAGATGTAACCGATATGCAACTGGGTTAATCTGTTCAAAAACAGAAAAGGGGCCAAGCCTACGATAGTCCAACTTGTCACAAGGTCGAGTAGTCTTGATATTGCGACGAAGTAGCCATACCTTATCACCCACGTTGATTTGTGGTTGCTCCTTATGATATAGATCTGCGTTTATCTTTTGTCGTTCTCGAGCTTCCTTCAATTACGTCTTCATTATTGCATGTAACTCTAACAACCGATTTGCCATATCTTTTGCTGCAGGATTATCAACTTTTGAAAAATCAAAAGTATCAAGTCGTAGATGATAGCCATAATTGGCAAAGAAAGGTGTTTGTTGTGTGGAAGAATGTACCGTATTATTATAAGCAAACTCTACCAATGGCAGAAGGGTTGTCCAATCATCTTGTTGGTAGTTCATAGTACACCTTAAATACTGCTCCAAGACTTGGTTTACGCGCTTTGTTTGTCCATCAGTTTGAGGATGGAGAGCCGAAGATAGCTTTATGTCCACTTTTAAAATCTTGAAAAGGGTCCTCCAAAATCTTGACACAAATTGAGTTCCCCTATCCGATATGATATCTTTAAGTAATCCATGATAGCGATAGATATTATCAATGAAAAGCTTAGCTGTTTCTTCACTTGTGATAGATTTTGTACATGGCACAAAGTGTGCCATCTTGGTGAAACGATCTACTATCACAAATATAGAATCATAAGATCTTGAGCTTGGAAGATCTGTGATGAAATCCATAGAAACAGAAGACCATGGTTGTTCTGGTATAGGTAATGGCTGAAGAAGTCCGTAAGGTCGATGACGAGGAATTTTTGATCTTGAACAAATATCACATGATTGTACAAAGTCTTTGACTGACTTCCACATTTGTGGCCACCAAAAATCTCTTGATATGAGTTCCAAAGTCTTATTATATCTAAAGTGCCCTGCTGCTGGAAAGTCATGACGTGCTTGAAGAACACGTAAACGTGCTTCTCCTTTTGGAACATATAGGCGTCCTTCAAAATATAATAGATTATTCTTGAACTCGAACTTAGAAGGATCATGAGACTTGGAAGAATTATTCTCGATATCATGAACAAGAGGATCTGAGGACATACTGGATTGGATTTGCTTAAGAAAAGTTGAATCAACAGTCAATGTTGATTTCATTGCTCGGAGATGAAATTGCTCCGGTTTCAAGAGTACCGTTCTTTGTTGCTCAAAAGCTGCATCTCCTTCTTTTGGTGCAAAATAAGAACGTCTAGATAGGGCATCGGACAAATCTTGTTGTTTTCCTGGCCGATAAGTGATAATGAACTCGAATCTTGACAAAGACATACTCCAACGAGCTTGACGACGATTCCACACGCGTGCTGACATGAAATACTCGAGGTTCTTGTGATCTGTATACACAGTGACTGGACTAGAAGCGCCTTCTAGATAATGACGCCATTCTTGAAAGGAATCCACGATCGCAAGAAGTTCTTTATCGTGGATCTCATAATTGATCTCGGCTGCTGAGAATTTTCTTGAATGAAAAGCTATCGGATGAAGTTTGTCATCTGTTCCCATTTGTGATAAAACTGCACCCAAGGCAAAATCTGATGCATCTGTTTCCATAAAAAATGCCTTGAAAAAGTCAACACGATATAAGACTGGTGCAGAGACAAACGATGTCTTCAAGGCTTCAAATGCTGCTTCCGCTTCTTGATTCCATTGAAATTTATCTTTACTAGTCAAGCGTGTAAGTAGAGCTGCAACTCGTGAGAAATCTTTGATGAAGATCCGATAGTAATTGGCAAATCCCAAGAAACATTGGACATCTCTTACTGTCCTTGGAATCTTCCAATCCATGATTGTTTGGACTTTCTTAGAATCCATCATGAGACCATCATTTGAAATGATGTATCCTAAAAAGTCAACTTGAGTAGTGTGAAATACACACTTTTCCATCTTGGCGTACAATCCTGCATCTCTAAGTTTTTGTAATACTTGACGAACATGTATTTCATGTTCTTCGACGTTCTTAGAATAGATCAGGATATTGTCTGGATAGCAGACGATAAAATTGTCTAAGAATTCACGAAATACATCATTCATGAGATGTTGAAAAGCAGCTGGTGCATTCGTGAGTCCAAAGGGCATGACATTATATTCGAAATGTCCACACCTGGTTCGAAACGCAGTCTTCCATTCATCTCCTTCTTTGATCCGTACTAGATTATATGCTCTTCTTAGATCTATTTTTGTATAGATCTTAGCTTGATTCAACTGGTCAAGGAGTCCTGATATTAAAAGTAATGGATACATGTTCTTGATTGTGATCTTGTTGAGTCCTCGATAATCAACACACATTCGTAAAGATCCATCTTTTTTCTTTACGAATAGAATTGGAGCTCCTGCTGGAGATTTTGAATGGCGTATGAAATTCTTCGCTAAATTCTCGTTAATATATGTCTTGAGTTCAGCCATCTCATCTTGCGATAAACTGTAAATTGGTCCAAATGGTGGCTGAGTTCCTTCCTTGAGGTCGATTGAACAATCATATGGACGATGCTCAAGAAGAATATCTGCATTCTTTTTCTCAAAAACGTCTTGATACTCCTGATATTGACTTGGAATGCCACTTGAATTCTTTACGTTTTCAAAAATAGGTGCAGCATAAATAGCAAAAGTTGATCCTTCTTTTGCTGCGTGTATAAATGCTTTTGTACCTATCAGTACGGGTTTTACTATACTAGACTTATAATTTTTTACTTGGTTCGTAGAACTATTAATAACGCTCTGGGAAAAATCAAGTTTACGTGAATTCCAATCTATTCGAGGGTTATATTTTTCTAGCCAGGATAAACCTAAAATAACTAGATTGGACGAGGATTTAATTATGTTAAAAGCTATGTAGCTATCATGACCGTCTATTGTTACTTTTATAGGATG